TGATAAAAAAGAATTACATAATGATCTGAAAAGAAATAATTTCAAAACACAAACCATACAAATTTAACAAAATAAAAATAAAAAATTACCTAAAATTTATGGAGAAAAAGCAGAAATAGTAAGGCGGATTTGATTTTTCTACAAATCCAAATGACAAACCGACAAAGAGTGATAATTTCCTAACCGTGAGAATTGAGGAGTGAGACGCAGAGAGCTTAGATGCAAAATAACAAATTATAGAGATATGAGATGATATTGACATTTTGATTTTGATTTATACTGAAAGCCAAAGAGGCAAAGACGAAAATGCAGATGCAGGCAAAGCCATATAGGAAGTTACCATTGCAATGACATCTTAGATTGTCAATCGATTCACTAAAGGTAAGAAGAAGGGTGTTGGTGTGGATCTTGATTATCGATGCAACAGATGAGAATTTTTGTCTCTTTGTCTTCAATTCTACCCGCCTATATTCCCTCTAAATTTTTTTGTTTGCCGCCTTCAACTCCTCATCGCTAGTCGCCTCCACCAGGGATCCGAGAATTGACAAGATTGGGCCACAAGTTTTTTCTATACTAGTAGAAACTTGCCGTAAAATTATGCTCCCATAGAATGTGATGCCCTGGGCAGAGGCCCAGGTCGCCCTGTCCTTGGGCCGACCCTAAAAATAACTATTGAGACAACTAAACTTCATGAGACAACAATTGAGACAACTAAACTTCTTCCTTATGCATCAATTATATCCAACTTGATGTATGTTACGATATACATGAGGCCATACATTACTAATGCACCGAGACTTGCCACAAGGCCTATGCATGACATGGGAAAATCATTGTGAACCAGTCAAGTGGTTGTCACGCTACTTGAAAGACATTTATCATGTTGCCTTGTGTTTTTAGAAGAAAATGGTTATCTTGGAAGGACTTATAAATACAGACTTAGGTGGATGTTCTAATTTAGGGAATATAACTACAGGTTATGACCCCAGACCTGCCGGTCTAACTGTAGCTAACAGTTTAGATGTGGGATTGTCAATCCCGTATAGATCTATATATAAGTATCACGCTCTCCCTACAAGAGATTATGGTTTATAATACAGGACTTGAAATGCGTACTTGAGAGTACGGTGAAGCCGGATGTCTCACAAAAACTTAGTATCAAAAGATTTACGAAATGAAAAGTCGTCATTTCTTGTAAATGAAAGTATTTCCTTTTTATAATGTTTATGTAAAGGTGTCATGAATAACTTGTAAACTATACCCATTATATTTTTTCGAAAGTGTGTTCCGTTTGGTGATAAAACTCGGTGTAATACCAACTTTGCATGTAAAGTGTAACGTTGGTGGTAATGTTGTTTAACATTTATAAACAAGATGTAGGTAAAGTATTTAAAATCATATGTAACGATGTGTATTTTAACATAAGTTTTTCTCGTGTTTCACTTGTATTTCCCCCACTAAAACATGAAAAAGATGTGAAAATATAGGGGTATGAACTCACCTGGAAAGTGTGGTGATTTGAAGAAAACGTGATTTTCTCGGGCACACTTCGACTGGGAAGTGGTAAGTTTCTCGGGATTCTCGGAGCTTCGGACCTTCGCCGGAACTTGGGTATGTAACCGAAGTGTCGGGGTCGTCTCGGGGTGCTTAATGCAGAGTAGAAGTGAGAGAGAGAAGAGAATTGAGCAAGAGAAGTCTATTAAGGATACAATAGTTTGTTGGAGTACGAGCTTTAGAATAATATTGTTCTTTCAACTATAAAAGCAGAACACAGTCATTACAAAAGTTTGCAAGGAGTCCGTCTGGTTAAATTAGTTTCCTATCAGAGTTGGACATGAAACATGGAGACATCATTCTTTATAGTGACAATCATATTTCAGTTAATCTTGATAAAACCCATACTTTCTTGATAAAACCCATACTTTCTCCGTAGAACTAAACACATCCATATGACATACTACTTTATTAGAGAGTTTATCAGTGATGATATATTGTCGTTGTCTCGTTGAAGAAAAAAATTGGTATGAAGAATCCAGTAAATATGTTTACTAAGCTGGTGAGTGATGACTGCAGAGAAGTTGAAGTTATGCTCAACTTCAACTAGACTTGGCAATCGATATTTGCGTGTCGTGTATTCGTGTCAGACACGAATTTACACGACATGAATTTTGTTAAACACGGATATGACACGAATTATGAAATGTGTTTGGGGTATCAAACACGAACACGACACGTAAAAAATTTGTGTGATACATGACACAACACGAATAGACACGTTTTTTTAACCGTGTTACATGAAAACATGAATAGACACGTTTTTAATGCCCTTTTTTTAAGCTAGGATAACAATAACATGCAAATAATCTTAATCCAAAGTACAAAGTTCAAACTCCAAATTACAATCCCAAAATATTTTAAAACAAGTAAACAACTAAAGTTGTACAATCCCAAATAATATTTATACGTGTCACGTGTCAACACAAATTTGTATCGTGTCTTATACGTGTTTAAACAGGTAAATTCGTGTTTGACACATGTAAGACACGAAACACGAATTTAAAATACGTGTCAGACACGAATAACCACGAAACACAAATTTCTAAAACACATACACATAAAACTCGTAACGTGTTCGTGTCGTGTTAATCGTGTCGTGTATCAAATTGTTAGGTCTAACTTCAACTTGTCTTCTAGGTGACTGAGGAAAAGGCAACAAATTAGATAGAAATGAGATTACACAATGTTAGGTTTACGATAGGTAAATGCCTCAAATTGTAGTTGATTTGTTGATCAACCTCTCATAAAAGATTATTGAGTTGTAGAGACTAATTATTTATAAGAGATACCAAAGATGTCTCACATAAAAAATGATAAAGGTGAAGAAAATAAATATCACCCCAGTGGTGATACCAACGTCTCATACTATCTAAACATAGTTTTATTTGGGGTTAATGACCTAGGAGGGTAATAAGGTTTGAAGTTTGTCTACATTAGGTCCTTAAGGTTTTTTTTTGTACATATTACACCAATATGGTTTGGTATAACCGTTTAAAATAGGTAATAAGGTTTTAATTTTGTCCGCATTAGATCTTTAAGGTCTTTTTTTGTACATATTACACCAACATGGTTGTTAGAACCGTTTAAAGAGTGGTAATAAGGTTTAATTTTGTCCACATTAGGTCCCTATTTTTAATATTTTTATCATTTCATCTAAATCTTTTACAATTTATATAAGTATCTAGTTAGTAGCTTATAAGCTAGCGTTTTAAAAAACTACTTAGACTAGTTTTTTAAAAGTTTTTTTTAATTTACAAATATACCCCTTAATTAATTAAGAAAACATATTTTTTAAATGTCCCTTTATGTCATTAAATAAATTTCGGATAGTTTATAAGCCAGTGGCAGAACCAGGGTTAAAGTAAAAGAGTATTCCCGACTTGTAATGGGGTATCCCCGATAAGTAATGGCGTATCGGGGATACCCCATTGGTGGACTGATTACTTATCGGTGATACCCCATTATTTTTCGGGGATACTCTTTTACTTTGACACTCACTGGCTTATAAGCTATCTGAAATTTACATAATGACATAAAATGATATTTAAAAATATGTTTTCTTAATTAATTAAGGGGTATATTTGGAAATTAAAAAAAAAATAAAAAACTAGTATAAGTAGCTTTTTTAAACGCTAGCTTATAAGCTACTTTTTGGCTTGCCAAACATGACAACTTAAAAAAGATCGAAAAAATAAACTAGCCTATCAGTTAGCTGTGGCGTGCCAAACATAGCCTTAATCATGAAGACTTTGATTATTATTAGTTTTTTTTTCTGTAAAAATACAAAAAGTTGTTATGTAACCTTTCAAATGAAACTGTGGTTGTGGTGAATGTACGACTAAAAATGAGAACATGAAATGATGAAACCATCTAACTAGATACTAATATAAATTGTAAAAGAGGTAGATGAAATGATAAAGAATATTAAAAATAGGGACCTAATTTGGACAAAATTAAACCTTATTACCCCTCTTTAAATGGTTATAACAACCATGTTGATGTAATATGTACAAAAAAATACCTTAGGGACCTAATATAGACAAAATTAAACTTTATTACCTTTTTTAAACGGTTATAACAAACCATATTGGTGTAATATGTACAAAAAAAACATTAATGATCTAATATGGACAAACTTAAAACCTTATTATCCTCCTAGGTCATTAACCATTTTATTTGTATGTACCTAGTTTTATACATATAATCACAATATAATCGTAAACTTCATCGTTATATCAATAATAAGTTTTTCTAGTTCGCCCGCGAAGATAATACGGTTATCCTAATCACGAGAAATGCATAAATCTTTTGTTTTCTTTATCTTTTTTTGGTATCTTGTACTTATGTATTTGTGTTGGAATGCCTTACACTAATATCAATTAAATCTTTTATGGGTCTATCAAATTGACAAATACCAAAACAATTTGTTTTTATAATCAAATCAATTATGAAAATAACTAATTGCTAACATAATTAAGCATGTCGTATATGTGAATTATTTAGCCATAAACACATGACCTCCATAATAAATATTAATATTTTATATCAAAGTCAACATAATTTAGCATTTTCATGTGTATTATTTAGTCATATACGATATTAATTTGACTGATTCCGATTCAGGAAACGAAATGTATTCGTTTTTTTTTAATGAAAATTCGTTTCCATTTTGCCATTAATCTGGAAACAAAAAGGGTAATAATGTAATATTGTTTCCTCAGACTGGTCTTCTTCCTTCCTCCTTCCCCACCCCTCCCTCGGCCCCCACCATATCCTTCACTGTTTTCATCCGCGTTTTCCTTGATATTTCTTCATTTCAGCAACTACTAAAGAAATATCAATCCCAACACAAATCACGCACAAATCCCAGATTGATGTTTCCCAGTTTATGCCCTACAGGTTTTTGATTCATATTTCCTACTTCCATAACCCAATTGTAAATCATGGCTGAAACCGGCGAAGAGAAACTCATTGCCGTGGCTCGTCACATAGCTAAAACTCTAGGCAACACCGATAATGCCATGGCCGATGATATACTCCAAATCTTCTCTAACTTTGATGGCAGATTAAGGGAAAAGCTACATGAAAGTCTTTCCGGCAACGACGGCGGAGCCGCACTTGATCAGACACTCAGAACGATTGACCGACGGATCTCTAGATACCTCACGGTTGACCAACCGATATGGGCTGATCCTGCCGACGCTTCGTCGTTTCTCGACGACGTTGACGAACTAGTCGCTGTGATTCGTGAGTGGAGTGCGATGGCTGACGACAAGGCGGTTACGTCTTGTCTCGACCGAGCGGAGGATTTGCTCCAGCAGTGTATGTTTCGGCTTGAGGAAGAGTTTAAGCTGTTAATCGGACGTGGCGGCGCTGAATCTTCCGATAACGCTGTGGGAGGTGGTGTTGGTGGTTACTTAGATTCTGATGATGATGAAGATGACGGATTCGATGATGTGGAGATTCCGGTGGCTCATCCGGTGTCGGACTATAACATCACGATCGAGGCGCTTCCGTCTAGTACAATCAACGATCTGCACGAAATCGCGAAAAGGATGGTCGCTGCCGGCTACGGAAAAGAATGCTCGCTTGCTTACAGCACCTGCCGGAGGGAGTTTTTGGAAGAAAGCCTCTCGAGATTAGGTTTTTTAGGGTTACAGAATTCGAGTAAACCTCTAGAAGACGCCGACAACGATGTTGAAATCGAGAAATGGGTCAAAGCAATTAACATGGCTGTTCGAGTATTTTACCCTAGCGAGCGACGCCTTTGCGATCGTGTGTTCGGTTACTCCTCCTCTACCGCCGCCGCCGCCGATCTCTCCTTCATGGATGTATGTAGGGTTTCCACCATGGAGCTGCTTAATTTCGCTAATGGAATTGCCATGGGGAGCAGAGCACCAGAGAGACTGTTCAAAATTCTCGACGTATACGAAGCCGTGAAGGATCTATTACCGGAATTCGAGGTATTATTTTCCGATCAATACTGTTTATTCTTAAGAAACGAAGCCACAGGCGTTTGGAAGAGATTAGGCGAATCAATCAGAGGCATCTTCCTTGAATTAGAGAATTTAATCCGCCGTGATCCAGCCAAAGCCGCCGTCCCCGGCGGTGGTCTTCATCCAATCACCCGTTACGTCATGAATTACATCCGTGCTGCTTGTTCCCGAGCAACCCTAGAACAAGTTTTTGACGACAATCTCGACGGATCTTCTCCATCACCTTCATCTTCATTACCTGTTCAAATCTCTTGGATCATGGAAGTTCTAGAGAACAATTTAGAATCAAAATCCAAGACCTACAGAGACCCTGCGTTATCCTCCGTGTTCATGATGAACAACGGTAGATACATCGTGAAGAAAGTTAAAGGTGATGAATTAGGTTCTCTTCTAGGAGACGATTGGATCCGAAAACAAACATCAAAAGTGAGACAACACCATGTAAATTACCAACGAAGCTCATGGCACAAGATTCTCAACACTTTGAAACTCGACAACAGTAACTTATCTTCAAATGTTGCTTCCAAAGCTTTGAAGGACAAACTTAAACTCTTCAATTCACAATTTGAAGACATTTTCCGAACTCAATCAACATGGGCCATATTCGATGAGCAATTGAGAGAGGAACTGAAGATCTCAGTAGCTGGAACTTTGCTCCCTGCTTACAGAAATTTTCTTGGGAGGTTTTATAATCTTCAAGATATTGGGAAATATGCAGATAAACATGTTAAATTCAGCATTGAAGATGTTGAGGCTCGGATTGATGATTTGTTTCAGGCAACCGCTGTGGCTGGGAGTGGCCGGAAGTGAAGTAAGTAATTATTGATTTGTATTGTAACATATTTGTGGTGGTATGTAATTGTACAATGTTTTGCTGTAGTGTATGGATTTTTTTGTTAACTAAATTGCTGCCATTTGTATTTGTATTTGTATCATACAAATTGTATGCGGTTAGTGTTTATCCATCTACTATGACATGATTGGTTATCGAGTAAAGTCATACACATACAAAAAAGAAAAATTGTCATCTTAAATAGAAATTTTGGAAAATCTAATATTTTTTCTGATATATATCGTGCAAGATAAGGGGTGTTTGGGATTGTGTTTTTAAACAAAAATAACTTTTTAATCGGTAAACATTCTCATCCATACAACAGAGTTCTTTTATTTGTCTTCTGTTCTCTTCTATAGATTAAAGCATAGCAAAACCAACATAACAGTTTAAAAGTAATTCAAATCGTAAAGTTAATTTGTAATCTATATGCATGATAAGACGATTTTCCAAATAAGAAATGACTATTTCCAAAGCAATACATTTGAAGTAAGTTATTGTGCATTAAACATTACAGATATTCTTCTGGATCTAACCATTTCTGTTTAGGAAAACCTAAAAGGAAGTCTATTCTAGATTTTAGTATTTTACTTAGAAAATATGGCCGGAGGTATTCAGATGACGAAGGATTTGATTGAGAAGGGTTTTGGTAACGTAACGATAGGCAGCTTCAGTTGGATGGATGCTATCGAAAAACAAATAGTTTGAAGGGTTTGTACATAGTGGAGTAAGATATGTACATATTGGTCCTGCTTCCAGTAACCCAATTCCACAGCACCCCACTTTCGTATGGGTAAATCCTGCAAAACACATTTTTTTAACTTATTTATATTTACTTATTTAGAAATATAGAAAATCACTAAATATATCAAAATAAGCTATTCATATAAAATAATGACATATTAAATCCATTAATTATCTTTTAATTTTTTCTTTTCATTGAGTAGCAAAGATAAATAGAAACAAAAACTAAGAGAATATTTGATTTTCCTAAAGTTCAACTCTCGTTTACTTTTTATATAAAAATGATTACCAATTTTGTGTTAGTCTACCTGTCGAACTATATTCACCATTAATAAAAAAAATCATTCGATGCAAAATTAATCTTCATTTAATGTGGATTTGGAAAATCATTTAATGTTTAGAAGGTGGGTCCAATGCAAAATTGACTTTGTGTAACACTCAAAGAAATAATATTTTTATTGGAATTCTTACCTTGTTTTTTGTGATTTTCTCTTAGAAATTTATGATTTTATTCACATTTTAAAAGATTAAAAAGGAAGTGCCTAATAATGTATTTTAATCTTCTTTTTCTTATAGTATTATGAGAATTTTTAATAATATTGTTTTTTTTGAAAAAAAATCTTAATTAACCATCATAATTTATTATTTCACATATTATCACAATCAATGAAGGAGTCAACATTATACTGTGGCATCAGAAAAAATAGATAATCGAATCAAAAAAGTAAAAATCTCGGTAAAAAGGAATCCTTTTAAACAAGTTACCTATTATTATGGTTGAATGTTGAATAGACAGTTACAGTATAATATCGTAATAGAAAAGTCAAAAAAAGAAAAATAAGTATACTATAACTAACAAATAAATGAAAATATACTATAATGAACTTGATAATTTTTGTAACTGTGTAGATAAAATAAAGTAGTTTGTTGGAGTATCAAACTTTGTTCATATCACATCACAATAAATATAAAAAGTTCTTTTTTCGATTATTCTCAAACTTTTGATAATAATTCAAGACAAACTGACACTCTTGGGAATCGTATTCTCAAACTTTTATTATATCATGTTCTTTAAAATATTTACTATAATATACAAATAAAATTACTCGTTTTGTTGCCATAATAAATGAATTGAAATTGGTTTTATTAATGGGAATTAAAATTAATGTCACAAATTTACCATGTTTTCGTGGATTTCGGATCATCTCCATCATCGGAGTGTAGATATCTGTGTACATAATCCGGCTTCCTTTCAGAGAAGATTGAATCTGCGGCAGCAGATTCATGAGCTTCTGATTGTAGATTCGAGCATCGGTGTTCTGATCCGTCAAACATGTTCTCGAGAATCTGGACAGCATTTGAATCGGTAAACACCCCATCGGAGGTAGCCCTGAAACCACCATTGTTCGACATCCGAGCTTGTACAGCTCCTATCAACCACCACCACAAAATCAAACAAACTGTTTAAATAAAGACATAGAGAGAGGGAGAGAGATAGAGAGTTACATTGACGAAATTCTGAAGCTTCTTCAATATATAATCCTGGTAATCGTCCATGGAGAAATCTTCTCTTCTAGAAGGCAGATCGTAGTAGCTAATGGTGAAATCATTTGTTCCAGCACTAATTGACACCAACGCCCCCTCAATTATCCTATTCGCTTCTTTGATCCCCACAACTTTCTTCAATCTCTTTATATACTCCCTAAAGTAATACAACTGCTTCGTCACAGGAATCACCTGAGAAATCTGAGCCGTCATGTCATCGTACCCCGATCCGGCGGAAGCAAAGTTCACTCCAGTACGGATATCAAAATCGGAGATATTAGGCTGCAGGAACGGAGGAACGGTTTGTTTTATTCCCAGCAGAGACGCCCAAAAGTCCGACACCAGTTTTCCGTTAGAAAACCGGCCGGTGGGGATTTTTCCAGGAAAGTCTTCCCCGTATGGGGGATGGTCGGCTTTGAATGGGGTATTTATGTAATTGTTGTTGCCGGAATCTGCAGTGGAGTCGCCAAAAATGAGGACGGCAGAGAATAGATGGGTTATGTTCTGACTGGAAACGGCGGTGGAGACTTTGAGAAGTAAGACGAAGATGAACACGGCCAAAGCCATAGAATTAGTGATGAACTAGCTAGTCCTACGGAGGCCTCTTTGACATGCAAAATGTATGTGATATATATATATATATATATATATATATATATATATATATATATATATATATATATATATATATATATATATATATATATATATATATAAAGATTAGACTAAATTTATTTATAGTATTGTATTTTTTTACTATATAATTACCATTAATAATTTTGATCTTATCAGTCTAGTGGTGTTGAGTTTAGAATTCTAAAATTTTCATTAATATATCAGTGTTTAAAGGATTATAACATTATATATATATATATATATATATATATATATATATATATATATATATATATATATATATATATATATATATATATATATATATATAAAATTCAAGATCATTTAAAAAAGTACTTTTGCATTAACTGAATATAGAATATTTAATATGCTATTTTATTTATAACATAATAAATACATTGACTCATACATTGAAATGTGACAAAATGATAAGGAATTTGTTTTAACATAGAAGCGTTACAAATATCTTGCAAGAAATGTAGTAACAAAATAGGAGTATAGGACTGACATACAGTTTTCTAATTGATAGAAAATTGTGTTCATTTTGGATTAGAACAAAGACGATTTAATAGCTCTCATCTCATACTCAGAAGATAGAATAATTGATAGAATATTGTTTTCATTTTGCAAAAGAAATTTAGTTGTTTTGTCTTTTTATTATTTTTATGTTGTGTTATTATTTATAAATTACAAGGACCACCCAACCTCCCATCCCACCTCACCAACCATTAGCTCAATCGCTCTCATCCCATACTCACAAGAAAAAACCAAAAACAATAGCATGTTGAATTATAAAAGTTACGATAAGAATTTTCCTCTTTGGATTCACTCAGAATGCCCTCCTATAACGGAAATACCCACAAGTGGTTTGGTTGTTATTTTTAATTATAACCATAGTAGGTATGAGACCTATATACTACATGGATTAATTAAAAAAAAGTTAAATATAGAATGACTAAAAGTATTCATTGCAAGTTATCATTATGTTCATTACATTTAATACATTACATATATAATATATAAATAGAACTATTACATGTCTTTCTAATTTTTAAAAAATGAACAAAAAAATTAGAAATTTACATGTAGATTTTATTTATTTTAAAATACCATAAAATGATAAGTGTCAAAACTAATGAGAGATCAACATATGATAGAAATGATCTTAATTTGTTAGAGTAGGTAGGAAAACATTTTTACAAAATACTTTTGTTTTATTTACTTTAATATGTCTTTCCAAATGGCTCACAAACTGAGAGCCCTAAATAGAAGTTCTTGTTGCTTTTTCTCAAATGATTTTTTTTTGGTTAATAACCTAAGAGTGTAAGTATTTTTTTTTTGTCTATATTTAGGTAACCATGTTTTTTTGTAAACGTTTGACCAGTAAATTTGTTTGAACTATTCAAAATATGTAATATTATTGGTAATTACAGGTGATATTACCGTATTATGAACATGTCAAACAAGTTTACTGGTCAAACGTGTACGAAAAAAAAAACATTGTTACCTAAATATGGACAAAAATCAAAGTTCGTTACCCAAAGAACTATTATGTAATGTGTGCGCTTTAGATCCGGATCGTAAATGTAACGTCCCAAATTTCAAACCAAAATTTTCTCTTTAAAAAGCATAAGTAAAACAACCAATTTCCATAAAGATGCAATACCAATTTGTTTCAACCACAAAATACCATGATAACGTGAAAAACAAAGTATCAGAATGTCAACAGTAACGAAAGTCTAAAATCATAAACATAGGAGATGCGAATGCATCACGGTTAAGATGGAGGCTTGTCACTGCCAGAAGCACAACCTAGAAACACTTAATCCAAAATTGTAAGCACAAAGCTTAATAAGTTCCCAAAAATATTACAAACACCATAGTAATAACTATATATAACTATATTGTGCATCTTTAGCTTACGACCTACTCTGATCTTGCTATCATTCTAACTTGGCCTGTTTGACTCATAGCCTGTTCTGATTTTGACATCAACCCAACATGCCTATTTGACTCACGACTTGTTCAAATCTTATTAACATCTCAACAAAACATAAAAATATACAAACAAAAAGCAAGACCTTACAAGTCTAGCTAAGTATACAATCATATTATAGTATTACACAACATCCAACACTAAGAAGGATCCAATCATGATAGAAATTTTGTTTTTAAGTTCATTCAAAACATACGATACTCATATCAAATAAGTCAAAAGTGTATCATGGTAACATATTATTAGAGTACAAAATCCCAAAATCTCAAATTGCGGAAATCACAGGGTGATGCGGTGCGATCAGGCCGGACCCTTCCCCCTCGAATTGGAAATACCTGAAACATAAACTTAAAATTGTAAGCACAAAGCATAGTGTGTTCCCCAAAATACCTCATACCATACAAACATGCAACCATACATCTCTTGGTGCTTGCACTCTCCTTCGGTCTATTTCAACCGGATATTATCAAGCATATATGGGTCCTTACAATCCCCTTCACTCTATTTCACCCGGATACTGTCAAGCATATCTTGAACAACCTACACATCATGTTCAGGGTTCGTGATTTCCTTAGCTTTTGCACTTGTTCTAGTGGTTAGTTTGGCAAAGGGAATCAATTTGGTGCCATCGAGGTACCTGAAGAGCTAGACACCTCATAAGATGGGAACGACTTATGCCTTCCAAAGTAAGAAATTGGTTCTGGTTAATTTTCAAGATATTGTGGTATCGATCTTTGAGGAATTGATGGAAGAAGACATTGTGATGGAGAACCAGGAAGAAGACCAGAAAGTCGGAGAATGTGATGAATAAAAGAAGCCCTAGGATGGGTTCTGATATCAAGTTGAAAAATAGTAATTGGCCTGATCATCCCATAAGGATATATATATATATATATATATATATATATATATATATATATATATATATATATATAAAAGGATAGAGATGATGCTAGATCCTAAGTATCAAAAATTAACAAACTAATTTCGTAACCAAATTAGTAAATGCGGTGTGATGTTTAAAATAAGGTTAGTGAAAATAAATTGCTTAAGATTTTGAAGTGTGCCGAAGATCTTGGTTTTGTCCAAGATACTAGGTATAAAATAATAACTTTCAGAAATTTGTTTAATAAAAGTGTGTTATTTGGTAATGAAATAAGTGTATTTAAGAGAAAAATAGTGTTAAAGTGATTTAACAAGTGAATTTGTGTAATAAAGCTTAAGATACTAAAAAAAGTACCAAGCTACCATAAAGTATCTTAGTAATTTTGACAATGAAAACATATTAACAATAAAATAAATAGTAGAATAAGTTGTTATCGATCAAACAACTTAAGTAATGAAATAAAATTACAAGTGCTAGCTGATCTTAGAAATGATGTAAATGTGTCCAGGTGCGAAAGAATCAGAGTGAACGTGGCAGTTCGAGTGTGTGTGTGAGTGATGACCAATTAGACTTTATATACATAACAATAATAACTAAAATTCTGACATTCTTGGGATGTTTTTTTTATATACGCTTGACCTGACTTTTACGATGGTCTTTAAAGTTCATAAAGCTTTGACCACGTGTTATTGGCATGGTCAATTCATTTGTAGTCAAACTCTTAAATTCTGCACAAGATATTATAAGAAATATGATGACAGTCCAAAATATTGACTAAATCCAAGATCTTGGGTTTGCCTGTGATGTTAGTACAAGTTCAATATATATAAATAGTAAGCTGAAATATCTATCCATAACAATATATAGTAGGTGTGAGACTCATGTATTATATGAGTTTATTTAAAGAAAAATTAAGTTCGAAATTCTAAATATTTGAGAAGTTTGAATTTATAAAAAAAGTAAAAAGTATTGAATTATTAAAATTAAAATGTTTTTTCTCTTTTAAATTTAAACAAATAGTTTAGATAAAATTATAATGTTTTTTTTTTATTTTAAAATTATAATGTTTTTTCGCTAACATACTCTTTCCCCTTTCAAGTTTCAAGTTTGTTATATTTGGTTTTATCGTTTGGGCGAAGTTTCCTATCTATCTATCTCCTGACTCAAAAGTGAAAACGTTGCAACATGTCGTTTTATTTTTCTTTATATTTCCAATTCAGTTATAAGCGAAACCTTAGTATATATATTTTGGTTAATACCTTTTTTCTTTTCTTTTTCAAACTGGAAAACAAAGAATCAAAATAAATACTTATACAATTATAATAATCCCTTTGTAAGTGGATTATAAATCCGATCGTTAAACAGGCGAGTAGGCTTAAAAACATTCTATACTTTATATTTTGTGCGGATCCAGTTTATCTTTGGAGTTTGGGCTCTAAGTTGTTTATTGGCCCAAACTTGTCAAGTTGTGAGTTTAGATGAGAGCCTCTTTTGGGAAAGGGAAATCTACAAAAGAAAGTTCCAAATTTTTATAAAAAGTTTTAAAAAGTCATAATTTGTTTTTTTTAATAAAAAAACCAAGAAATTTATTTAGTTTAGTCATTTTTTACCTATTCAGCCGGTCACCATGTCATCTGGAAGCATGTGATGACGTAGGGCATAATTTAACATGTCACGTCAGCTTGTTACTTAGTAATGAAAAAATGACATTTTTGAAAAGAATGAGGGGAGACAGTTTCAAACTCGTGACTCCCCTCTACCACTTCAACGAGTTTACCATTTGAGCTACAAGACTTTTATGACTTTTCCCCATTACTGAATATCTATTATGCATGAAGCTTTAAAAAAAATAGAAGCAAGGAGGGTTCCAACCCTACACAAACACAAAACATCCCTCTTATCAATTAGGCTATACACCTTAATTAATTTTATTCCTTCTCCCTTGTATTTAATGTATACAATTCTGAAGATTTAAATATAATTATATTATTATTTTATTTAATATTATGTTATTATTAAAAACACAATGAAATATATTATTTTTAAAAATATTTTTTAGTAATATTATTATATAAACACATATATAAATACTTTTGAAATGCATA